CACACACACAATTGATACAATAGATAATTTAGAAAGCGGATAGCTTCAACCTTGTCTGTTTGGGACAACCGTGGGCTATGAGGGATAAAGCGTTCCATCAGACGGTGATAGGATACTACATGCACATGTAAGTGTTGTGACGCGCACAGAGCAATCTGCAGTGTATGGATATGCACTATATAAAAGCAAATTATTATTAGGAAGTAAATGAACTAATTGGGGCTCTCAGGGTCGACAGGTTACTGTGTTCGCCTCTCATTCAATAGGGCAATAGGTCCCTGGTTCAAATCTGAAGAGCGACGAGCAAATTTTCTTTTATACAATTTTCTCCTTTCACCTCCTTTCCTGCTCTCTAACAATGTCCTTCGTCGTCTGCTTTCGTCTCCATTTTCTGCCCCCCACCCCCTCACCTTCTTTCTGCAGCCTTCCTACTGCTACTCCTTGGCTCCTTATTACTGCTGTCTTTCAGCCACACTCCTGATCTTATGGTAGATAAGATCTAATATCTAGCCGTCTCAGATATGGGCGAAAAATCTCAAAGGTCCCATGTGCAAATTGCACACGTTAAAGATCCCTTTGTGGTCCAAAAATCGACAAGAGTAGTCTTCGGCCGCCACCCAGGCAAAATGCAAAATTTCTTACCAACTGAAAATGTTTAATGTATCTGGCGCACTCATGACCTAGTTGCGAGCACCGTAAAACAATTAGGCCTACCAAAAAACCCACAAAAAAACCCAACTAATTACATGTATTACTTCCTTTGTTGACCCTTGTCGTAGCCAATGAGGGCTGTCTGAATGCTAGTATCAATAGTATTTTTAAATGGGAAGGAGCAGACCATTTGGTGCAAGAGAAAGTGAAAGGAGGAACATCTTTAGAATGCTTTGAAAACATTGCTTTTTTATAAGTAGATGACATGTAAAATGTCTGGTGGAAGCCTAAGTAGGCCTACTCTCAATACCAGTACCAGTCAGTGAGTAATCCATAAAGTCAGGACACTTGAAATGTATGCCCACCTCTAATATGACAGGATAGATTCCTAATGAACTTTGCAAAACAGCCTAATTACAGAACAAAATAGTCTAACAATATAAAAATCTAGGAATCAGCCACAATTAGGTTGAAATTACTGCAAATGAACCTTTGCGTTCATAAGACCCACAGTCGTGGTACAGTGAAACTTGGATATAATCGAAGTCGTTGGACCAGATCTTCTATTTAGTTGAATTCGAGTCTTTGTTTTAGAAAAGTAAGCAACAAGTTGCGTTACAATGTAGGGTCTACCAAACGTTTGTTTCTATAGACCAGCACGCAATTTATACATAGATCGATGTCTAGGCTAGTATTTCATTGTTCAGTAGCTGCGGGGAGGGGTGGATATGATTATGATGCGTTTCTATCTCTGCCAACTTTCCACGCCTGAAACATCTGCACCTAGCCTGGAATTCACTGACCACAACAGTTACGGCAAGTCCATAGTATAGTGAAACAGCAATTTACTCGAGGCAACAACTGCTGTTTGTAAAATTATCAAGCCATCTCTACTCAGAAATTTCTTTCTCACTGGACAAGTTAAATTCAAATGTACTCAATTGGCTTATTTTAATAAGTTTATTTATTTATATAAATATACATATGTACATGTCAGATTTCTCATATATAATGTAAATTAAATGAACACAATTTATATTTAATACTAATACACGAACACAATCTGCATAGAAACAGTATATCTTATCTTTAAGTGCATACTTAATATATTCAATCGTAATCTTCAATGTATGTATGGACGGTAAAAAAAAACACCATTATACAGCCAACCTTGTGACAAGCATGAAGTTGCCAGGGCGATGTTGCAAGGCAAATTTATATTTGCGTAGCAGCCAACTTTTCAAATAAAAAAATAAATAAACAGACTTTACCCCCGCAGCGGGTCAAGATGGTGGGCATTGGCCTGAGTAACCTCCCTCCAAACCCTTCACACACACATTTTTTTTGCATTCAATAAATTCAAGCTATCCAAAGAAGACCTACAGAGCTAGAGATCTCATCAGTAGACGTATAAGTGTCGTTCTAATTATCTTTTGCTAATCAAGTCTTGAAAGCTCATCATTTTTCTTCAGCATCGGCAAGCATGTAAGATACAATACTAGAAAACAAGAATATGTATTTTCTAATACGAAAATGGCCTTCCGTTTTCAGACTCTCCAAAAATATGAATTACATTTATGTACAGATTGGCAGCTACACACCAGTCTAGTACATGTAGTAGCAACAGTACAAGTACAATTCAAACAGTTGGCAGATGATAGTTTAAATAGGCGTTCTTTTTCCTGCATTGGCAAAATCTGGTGGTATAATGAGATTTGACGGAACATACTACATACAAAGTACAAAAAAGTTGGAGATGTCACAATAAATCTAATAAGAGACATACCCAGTTGCTGATAAGCTGAAGCACCAGAACACTGTGGCAAAACAATTCAAATACATTTTCTTTGTGCCTTTCTGTACACTGATAGTTCAATAAATATCTGCATTTGATCTGATGGTGTCTGCACAAAAAAGGCAACCTGGATGTTTTAGTTTGAGTAAAGAGAAGCACATTGACTCAATTTGTTAAAAGTCAGGTAAGTATTGGGAAAGAGCAAGATGGACAGAAACAACCTCCTACAGTCTACAGGCGCCCTTCAACCACACACACAACTTGGAAACCCAGTGACCTACAAGTATTTAATCACCTGATAGTGATAGATATCTGGGCTAGAGATAGTGCAGAGTTGTCATAAGCTCACGATTATATATAGTATAAGGAAAGGACTTTGGTCAATTAGCTGAAATATCAAAATATAAAAGTGACCAGCTGCAGGTCAGCATGATTCATTGCTTTGTATTTACATAATTCCACAGCAGCAAATGTCTCAACAAGTAAGTATCCATTTAAATCTTTCATACTCTCTGGCAAAACAGCAAATGATTCAACGTTAGTGTATTAACCTGACCTGAAGAGTCCGATAGCAAAACACAATACAGCTGGGGAATATGTGTCACATCCCTTGTTGACCTCAGTCATTGCTTAGCATCACTAACAGAAAGGCTGTAAAAATTATCCACGTAAAATCTTATCTTTGTCTATAAAACACAAATTCTTACATGTAGGCCTACCATTATAAGCAATATTGAACAAAAACAAAAATCAATACATGTATTTAGAAACACTGAAACGTCCATGTTGCAGAGCTGTTATTAATTGTTACACCCATTGTGTCAAGTACGATACCACGGGCGCATTATAAACAATGCGCATGTTTTGTCTCTTGTTGTGTAAGTCCACAGCAAAGACGTCATTTTACGGTGCTCCTCATGCTCCAGAAAAGTAATTCATTTAGTGTGTTCCCCAAGGACTTCCTCCCTTTGTAGGTTGTGACATACGATGTATTTTCGATGTATTTGCGTAAGTTGTGACATACGATGTACTTTCATGTGTGTTACCAGATAGATCTAGTTAGCGTAGTGGGGGCTTACACGCACTGTAGTTGTAAGCTGGCACTTGACTATCTAGACTATAGTTAGGTAGGTTGTGTTCATTTAAAAGCCTGGTAGGAGCTCATACCCACCTCTCTGCCAATGGCCCAGCTAGATAGGAAGATCGACACTATTTTAGAAAAGCTTAATGAATTAACCACTTGTGTCGACTCTATAGAAAAGCAACAAAGTGGCAGTAGCAACACAATCGGCCTCAGGCCGCCAAATTCAACAGGGACCCCCGCAGTCCAATACAGTGGCAGCGCCGCTTCTCAAGAAGCCAGTCAACACGATCAGGCATGTTTATGCCGTCAGTTTGACAATATTAAAGAAAGACTATCTGAAGTACAGATCCCACATCATTTCAATTTGAAGGAGTTGTCAACGGGAATTAAACAAGAGCACAGAGCAAATCTGAAAGTCATAGTCAAATGTGCTCGACACAGAGAGACCGGTCTCAAGTTATTGTCACTCTATCGCAACCTGAGAACGAACAGGCCGACGGGCCGTCAAAGTCCAGCCTTTCAGCAAGCGACATTCAGGATTTACTTGTGATATTTTTATTCACAAACATCATTTCTACAGGCAGAGTACACCAATATCGCGGTAAAATTAACGTTCAACACAGAGACATCTCGTCTTTTCCGACTACAGGGAGATGATGGCAGTGCTATACACTTTAAAAAGCTCTCTACCATGGATTCAGGGCAAATCAGTTTTCATCTACTTCGACAACATGACAACAGTGGCCAACGTCAACTTCATGGGCTCGCGTCACCCAACACTTACACAGCTGGCAAGGCATTAATACGGGCCCTAGCTTTAAAACACTAGATCACCCTTCACGTCAAGTGGATTGCACGAAAGAACGTCAGACCAGACCATCATTCTGTCCAGGCTTCCTCAAGCATGGTTTTCAAATTCTTAGACAATCTGTATGGGGTTCACACCATAGATTGATTCGCGTCAGTGAACACCTACAGAGTCGAGAGGTACAACAGCCTCTACTTGGATCCCTTGACCAGTGGAGTAAACGCTCTGGAGCAAACAGACTGGGCTCTAAACAATATTTGGCATTGAGCACATAACCACTTCGCCATATCATCCAGCCAGTAATGGCTTGGCAGAGAAGGCTGTTGGCACCTTCAAAAGTTCCATTATCAAAATGGGTAACAAGTTTTCTCTTCAAGAGAGAGTGAACAGATTTGTAACCATATATCGTGTCACTCCACACGTCACAACAGGCTTAGCTCCTTGTGAGCTGCTTTGTGGTAGAAAACTAAAGACACACCTTGATCTTCTCCACCCAACTGTACAACACTCTGTCATACAACACCAGCAATGACAAAAACTCAATCATGACAAAACAGCCAGGGAAAGAGAGATGAGGATGGATGACAGTGTGTATGTCAGGAATTTTGGACAGGGTGAGAAATGGTTGCGTGGACAAATTATTGAATGTTCAGGTCCAGTATCATACACAATTAGAACAGACCAAGGAACACAGGTACGCAGACATGCAGATCAAATGAAATCAACATGTGCTGAAAATGAGTATTAATCAGTCACCATCACACAGGAAGACCGGTCCATGTCAAATGTGCAGTCTGCGCCTAAACCTGTAAATAGACCTGTGAGTGTTGAGTTCGATAAGCCAAGTTCAGACACCACTGAACCCGAAAACGGCAACCCAGTCATATTTGACCATGAAAATGTGCTCACAGCATTTGATCAAAGTACATCATTTGGTACTCGTGAAATTGCTCCAACTCAACAGCCACTGCGAAAATCAACTCGCAAAATTAAACCTCCTGACAAGTTAAATTTGTGACACTCTAAGACAGTTTATATGTATTTCAAGTTGTAATCTTCAGCAGAATGCTGTAGGCCTATGTGTTTCATGTTCATTATACCTGTGCTTTTAAAGTGTTTCATATTTCTTGTCAGTGTCAATTTGAATTTTGTGTAGACTCTAGCATCATTTGAAGACTTACTAGATTTGGGATGATAATCTTACAAATATCTAATCGCTCATTGTTCTCCAATCAGGTCTAATATCATAGACGTCAATATTTTCATATTCAGTCAAATTTTGATAGGGTAGTCTTGTGCTCCTTGTGAACATTAACTAAGGGTGGAGGGATGTAATAAAGTAACAATCAATCTGTGTAATAATCGTACTGAATAGAGGGACATAAATCTTCTAGGTAGTAACCTATTAATTATCATGATTGTGTCCCCTTTAGCCACTGGTCTGTTGTAATTCTTCTGAATAAAGTTCAGTTCCGGTATACCCTTGATGGCTGCCTCCATGAATTCAATGAGCTTTGTGCTTGTAATAGTAATAGACAATCAAGTCAGTCTATTACACTGGTCAAATTTGAGACTTGTGAACCAGCTGGCAGAACGCCAGTGATGAAAAATAGAGTCACTTCAAGTTATGTTTTCCAAATGGGAAGATAATGAAAAACTCAGTTTAAAGGATATTAGGATTAGTCCTTGATACTCCTAACAATAAGCATGATGGCTTGACCATCTGATATTGCCCCTGCTGTCACCCTAAAGCGCAAACAAGTATCCTTCAATGAAGACAGTTTTATGACCATAAAACTTCTTGGTATCAAGAATGACTATAACAGGCACGGTTTCCAAATCAGAATTGACAGGGCATCCAATCCTAAGGTTGACCCGGTTCGAACTCTCAAGCATTATGTAGAGAGGACAACTGATCACGTCGGTAAAGATGACTTTTTATAATGGCTTGCAAGCGATCGATAAACATAGATCTAGGCTTGCAGGCGACCGCATGGTTTCGTAAAACGTAAACATTGAAATGACTTTAAAATGGCAAATAAATACACTTTTTGACTTAGATTTGCAGGTATCGAGCTTAGCTGAAAATCAGGGCTGAGAAGTAGGATCATATACCCGTGGCAACAAAAGGGTCAAGGGAAGCAAGTGTACAGAAAAATGATTTTTTAAAATCTCCCTTCTTTTGGCGAGACAAATATGTGAAAGACAATTTTTAAACAGCATAGACTGACAGTTCAATGTTCTCATATTATTTCCAGTTCACTATGACATACTGTGTAAATCCATTCCTCCCTCCAAATATGGAAGCACAAGATACAATTTTAAATGAGCACCAAATTGTAAAAGTGCTTTTTAATTTTAAGTCAGCAGAATTTGTGAGTCTCAGAGAGCAGCGTTAACAGCACAGATTACTGGACTAATACATATCAAGGGGGTGTACTAACACCTCTATAATAAAGACAGAGGCAAAGAGACTGGTTTATAGGACCTCTCTGAACCAGTAGTAGATCTGAATTCCATGGGCCAAAATGTGTGAAGACACATTCTGATTGTCTGAGTAGCTTTCAGTGACACATTCAGATTAAGTGATCTCAGAAGACCTTTAATATCTATGGAAGTAATTACAAGGTGCGTAAAAGGAATAATTGTATCCCAATATTTGTACACAGCTTGTAGAATTAAGTACCAATAAATTTAGTGCAGAAACAAGCAGAAATTGACATTTGCAGATCCTTGGAACATAAAGGGGGCTGCATTTGCAACACAGTTATCATATATTATGTCTTTGTTTGGACCCATCAGACTGACAGTACCACGTACAATGGCTCCTTCACGTCTTTCAAAACTGATCCTGGGAAACTTCCTTCAGCCAGTGTGCTGGGCCGACCCATTGCACTGAGGGCCAGGAGAAGATGCTGGCGAACTGGGGTTGTTCAAGCGCTCTCGTAAAAGTTCACTGTTTTTCTGCGCGATTTGCTGCATGTGTCTCACAGTGCGGGAAAAACTGCTCGGAGACTCCACTCGGGATGCAGGACTTGTGTTTGTGGAAGAGTTTCTGGGTCTCTGCCGCAGGTTATAGGAATGTCGCTGGGGGATGGAAACAAGATAAAATTTGCCAGCAAAGATAACAATAAGATTTCAATTGCATTTTCCTACACTCTACGTAATTTGGACCCTTCCAAAAATGAGAACATGGAGTTAAAAACATTGAGAGAGAGGGAAAAGAAGACAAGCAATAGAGAAGTAGGCATACTTTCTGAGCAATTGCACACACATCAACAAACAAAAGAGACCAGTGATGAAGAATAAGAAAATCCAATATGAACAAACATGAAAAGTCTGTTTCTTTTCTGTGACAAAAACAAAGACATTCTCCGCCACACTTAACTTTTCCTGACAGAAAAAAGAATCAAAAGCAATCATAACATCTCACGACACACCAACAGCCTCACATAAGCACATTTTTTTTATCTGACAGCAATGACAAAATACAAACAACCATTGCAAGTGGAAAAATGAATAACCTGTCACTCACCTGAGGTGTCCCTTGTTGGTGATCTGCAATGCCACTAGTGGGACAGGATTCAGGGCTGAAGGCTGCAACAATATAAATATCATAGAAGATACTGCGAGGAAATTAAAGGTGCAAGCTACTTGTACACGCATAAACATAATAATAGGAAGGACTGAGTTGAGAAGAAGGTGAAAGAAAAAGAAAAAAAAGAAAGTGGAAATAGAAAATAAGTTGGGGAGGGGGTTTTACTTGTTTGCAAGCTACTTTGTTTTTAATGTAGGTGAGTTTTTACTTATCCCCATCCACACAATTAAGATCATTTAGGATGCGAGTTTCCAACCTCGTCTATCTAGGCCAATCAGGGCTGAGAGGGAAACAATATCCACGCAAAAAGACCAAGATACTGGATAACGATATTCTCTCTACTTGGGAATCCACCTTGGGTCTCCTGCCCCTGACAGCAAAGCTTGTAACTACACTACAGACGCTGGTGCAAGTAACTTGCACAAAATTAGACTATGAAAGATTGAAAGTTTGGTTTGGGAGAAGGGAGAAAGAAATAAAAGAATGTGGATAAAGAAAACAGCCTGCAGATGAAAAAAGAAGAAAGGGGGAGGGGCTGGGGTGGAGAAAAATATGAAATTTTGAAACTGGCAACAAGTGTGTCTTTTGAGAGAGGAGAAGAGAGAGAGAGAGA